ATTATTATTTATAATATTTTGAATTTTGAATTTTTATTTTTATTTTTAACARTTAAAACTCGCATTTTAATTTTTATTTTTCATTTTTTTATCTTTTAATTTTTAGCAATAAAAACACGTTTAATTTTTTATTTTTAAATTTTTCATCTTTTCATTTTTTAGTTTTAATTTTTATGAACTAAAACCACGGCTGGTTATAGGCTAATTTTTCGGGAGTGAAGGGGTTTGGGATAGAGGCACCCACGTGATGAGCTGGGCGTTGTCGTGTCCCTTCCTCTTGAGCAGGTCGGAGCGGCGCCACTTGGAGAAGGTGTCCAGGGTGATCCCGGCGTTCCTGCTCACGGGCTGCTTGTCCCCGTCCGTCCACACCTCCAGCCCCACCAGGGCCACGTGGATATGGAGGGCCTTGTAAACCTGCATGGACACTCAGCTCAGAAAAACTCAGGCCTTGGAAACCTGCACAGAGACTCAGCTTAAAAAAACTCGGGCCTTGGAAACCTGCACGGACACTCAGTTTAAAGAAACTCTGGCCTTGGAAACCTGCACAGAGACTCAGCTCAGAAAAACTCGGGTCTTGGAAACCTGCACGGATACTCAGCTCAAAACAACTCAGACCCCAAACCAAAACCTCTCCCCTTCCCTCACTCAGAACCAAACCCTCACCTCTTCCCTCACTCAGAACCAAACCCTCACCCTCACTTGGAACCAAACCCTCTCCCCTTCCCTCACTCAGAACCAAACCCTCTCCCCTTCCCTCACTCAGAACCAAACCCTCACCTCTTCCCTCACTCAGAACCAAACCCTCACCCTCACTCAGAACCAAACCCTCTCCCCTTCCCTCGCTCACAGTGTCGTCCCCCTGAACCTTTTCCACCCACAAAACCCCCACCAACCCACCAGGAAATCACATTCAAATCAACTTTAAAAATGGCTCTTTTCCACCCACGAAACCCCCATGATCCAACCATTAAATCACATTCAAATCAACTTTAAAAATGGTTCTAAACTCCTTGAAAATTCCAGGGAGTTTGGAAGAAGTCTGGCTTGCAAAAGAAATCAAGGATCAGTTTATTCTCAGTGCCACGGTCTAGGAACCACGGCGGGGTTGGATCAAGGGTTGGACTTGATGATCTCAGAGGTCCCTTCCAACCCAGCTGATTCTGTGATTCCATGATTCTGTGATTCCATGATTCCATGATTCTTTTTTTTCACTCATTCATTTTAACAAGCGATAACAAAGTTCAGTATAAATCCTTCTTTATAAAAATCTCATATCCAAAGGCAAAGAACAGGATAATTTCCTGTTAAGTGTTAAATTTCCTCCTTAAATTACGATGCACTTGAGTTTTCATTCATTACTGTATAAAATAACGAACATTTGTGTTGTTTGCCACAGAAAAAATTTGGATTTCCATGTCATTGGTTTGCTCCTACCGTGTTGACGTAGTTGACGATTCCAAACACCCTCTGCCTGATGGCTTTGACATCTTTGTCGTGGTTCTGGTACTAAAATGGAAATACAGAACGTCAGGAAAAGGAGAGGGGGGAAAAGGGATTGATCAGAAAATCAGTTGTGCTGCAAACCACCCCATGCCCGGGCTGCTTGATGAGAAATTCTCTTTTTAATGTAGTGTTTTAACAAACAATGTGTTTCAAGATGTGTTTTAAAGTGCAGGGTGTAGAGAAGAGCTTGGACTCCACAATCCTTGTGTGGGTCCCTTCCAGCTCAAGATTTTTAGGCACTTTAAGGGGTTTTCTGAATTCTCTTCATCTTCATTTTGAAAATAAACCCATTTTAGGAACCCCTTTTCCCACCCAAGCTCAGTAGCTGGAAAAGCAGGAGCCCAGGGATACAAGCAATACCTATCCTGGGAAAAGAACAATTCCAATACTCACCAGAGTGTTGTCTGCAACTATGTAGAGCTCCAGGTATTTTTTGGCTTTCAGGTACTCTTTCATCTAAAGAAATAATAGATTTAAATGACCTGCTTTAGCCTCAGTCTTTGCAACTTCAAACCCATCTATTAATTCTTGGAGGTGTTTCTTTGGCCAAGTCATTTAGAGTGGGACTGGCACGTTTTTAAAAGATAGGTTAGATATTAAAATTATTAAGATTGTGAAGGGTCTGCTGGATATTAAATAAGTGTTTAGGTGTGTAAAGGTGCACCTGTTGGTGAAGGCAGGAGGGTTTTTTGGGGTGACTCTGAAATCTCAGATCTGGAAGATTTTTGTGCTGATTCTTTTAAAATCTGGTGCAACGAGCAGCCAAAGTGGGGTTTGGGCTCCTCAAATTCGAGTTTTTAACCCCTTCACCGTGTGTTTAACCCTGTCCTTACCTCGGGGCTGTTGCTGGACTTGAAGATGTCGTTGAAGGGGTCATCAGAATCCTGTTCCCAGGTGTTGTTGGCGAGGCCACAGGTTTTGATGGGCTCTTGTTTCAGTGCCTCGTATTTATAAACGGCGTGTTCTGCTCCCTCCCAGCCCCCCAGGGGCTCGATGAGGTACCTCTGGCCACGGGTCTCAAAATAACCACTGAAAAAAGGAGCTGGACTGTGATTTTTTTTTGGAATCAAGAGAGCAACAGCATCTCCAGAGCGTTTATCCCAAGCATGGAATATTCTGGCAGCCTTCAGCCAATGCAAATTTAAATCAGGAATTAAAGCTGCCAAGTCAGTTGGAAGATTTGGGTGGTTGGTGAAGTCTCTGAGGAGGAGACTGGCAGTGAAAAGAAGCTGGTGTAGGAATTAATTTGATTTCAGTTGTTGGGGTTTGTGCTAACAGAGGGGGTTGAGAAGTGAATTTTGCTTCAGTGAGGAATTTAAAGGTGAGAAGAAAAGCTGAAACATTGTAAGGAACTGAGAAACTTCCCCCCCCTGCTTCTTTAGTAAAGTGGTTTCCTTGTCAGCAGGAATAAAAGATCACATGACTTATTTCTGTCCTGATTTGTTTTATATGGAAAATTTATCCCAGAACGTTCCTGTTGTGCCTTTGGGAAGCAAAGCTGCCCTCACCTGAGCCCTTGGCAGGTGCTGATGCTCACTGTGGACTCAGCATCACCCTGAACGTGGCCTTCATAAAAACAGTGATCCTGTGGGGAAAAGGAAAATCCAGTGTCACACTGGGACCTGTCCCACTTACCCAACTGGCTTGGATCCAGTGATTTCAAAAGACAAACTACAATAGACTGCCCTGGCTGAAATCTCCCATTAGGAGGGTCTCAAAGTGAATTAAAAACTTATTCCCTAACCATTCTTTTTATCCTTCAACACGGAGGGACCCAAATTGTGACCAACCAGTCGTGGTGGGATCTGGTCAGTGCACAAGAGCACATAAAAATAAGGATATGGGCACAGACTGCTCCAAATTAAACACAAACTGCTGAATTAAAGTCCACACCGAATGGTTTTATTGCAGCCAAACTTCAAGGCAACACTGTTTAATAACCTAGCAATTAACTTCAATGAGATTAAAATGTTAAATATATGATTAGGGGAAAGAGTTTTGTGACTTAATTGGCTTAAGGATCTCAGGTTTATATTTCTGTCTTCAAAGAGACTTCAAAGCCACCGAGGGACTGTGGAAAATGTTACCTATAACATTTTCCTGAATGGATTCTTTAAGAACACGGCCCCAAACCTTCCTGCCTCGTGCCTTTTGTTTGCTCCTGGATCTTTGGGTTCACTTTTACCGTTTATTTGTCTTCCTTCCACCACAAGGTGCCAGCTTTCTGACAGGAATAAAGAGAAAATCAGTGGGGAAAGGGGAGGATTTATCCCCATCACTGGAGGATTTAAGAGAAAAATAGGAATTCCCTGTTCAGCACAGATAGGCCTGATTGAGTTTGTCTTTATCCACATTGAGGTGATGTTTGCTTTTCCCAGGATCTATTTAGGAAAAATCATTGGAGCAATGAGAAATGGGGTTTTTTTTTCCCCCCCAAAAAATCCCCAACCCAGAATTCTTTCATTTATTTCACTCGAGATCCTCCTGTTCCTGCTGAAAAAGAAAATGAGGCTTTGGATTCCAAATCCTGGGTGTTAAAACACATGGAATGAGCTGGGAAAAGGAGCTGTAGGTGGAAGATCAGCCCGAGGAGGGCAGAGTTAATTCCTGAGGAGTGAAGAGTTAATTCCCGAGGAGGGCAGAGTTAATTCCCGAGGAGTGAAGAGTTAATTAAAAAATCCTTTCTGTGGTGACTCCCTTTGTGTCTGGGTGGAAGAACTGATTTGTCACAGATCAGAGAAAGCACCTGGAGTGACCTGAGTGCATCTGCTGAGCGTGGGTGGGAAGGAGAGCCCGGAGGAAATGGGGTTTATCCCAACCCCTGATCTCACTGGGAGCGGGGTGTGAACAGGAGGGGGGTCAGGAGGGCAAACAGGCAGGTTGGGAGCAGTGGGATGGCCTTGGCTCCACTCCCTGTCCTGCCAGGAGGGAGAGGTTTGACTCACAGGCTGTTCAGCAGCACTGAGGGAGAGGTGCTGTCTTCCTGTGGGGCTGATTCCCCATGGGAACAAACCGGGCTCAGCTCTGCCCAAGCCACAAGTCCCTTCTTCCCAGAATTTTCCCAGTTGGAAAGGACCCACCAGGATCATTGAGTCCAACTCTTCAGTGAATGGCCCAAATCACCCAGAAAAACACCACCAGGGTATTAATGATCTCCTCCCTCTTCCCTGAATCCAAGAACAGGATAAATCTGTGCCTCTTCCCTGTGCCTTCAGACACATCCTAAATTACAGGCTTGGGAGCTTGATTTAAAATCTTTCCTTTCTGTCTTATATCTCCTATTATTTCACAGCCTCAGGAATCTCATATGGACCTCAGGACTGTAAATATATGGGAAAAAAGCCTTCCTTTCTTACCTTGATCCGAGGAGTTCTTGTTATTTGTCGACCGTCATCCGAATAAACAGTTTCGGTGTAATCTCGACCTAAAAGATCCCTGCAAAGAGCCAAGGGCAGCTCTTATTCCAAAGAAATTGTAGCCACTTAGGAAAGAGGTGATGACACAACACACCAAGCACGTGGGGAATTCAAACAATTACTCAGGTTATTATTAGTACCGAAAAAACTCGGCGAGCAGAGCTGCGGGGTGGGGAATTCTGCCTGGTCCTGTCCCTTCCTCAAAGGGACACTTCTCAAGGAGAAGAAGGCAATTAAAATCCACTTACTTCATTGCTCTGAACTAATCTCCCAGCAGATCCGAATGCAAATGTATAATTACATATTGATCCTTTTTTTTTTATGCATCTGACTAAAATCAGCAGCAAAGCAAATCTGCCTCACTTCTGTTTGGGCAACTGCCCCAAACTGCCACAGTCCCACTTCTCTTCAAATAAAGGGATTGATTACAGTATATTTTCCCTCTCCCCACTCCAAATATTTAGATTAGATTAAAACAGGGGCAAGCAGTTAATTACAGTCTATATTTAAGGTGAATTGATTATGGTGCTGTTGTATTTACACAGCCTTTTGAAAAGTACTTATTAATGCAGACTTGTCTGATTGCGTGTTCAGGATTCTGGTGGAGCCAGAAAATCCCAGCTGAGCTTTATTCTGGGCTGGTCTGTGCAATTTTGGGCTTCTCCTTGTGTGACAAAGCCCCCTGCCCTTCTGTACCCTCTGCATGGCCTCTTTCCATGCCTGTTCCTGCAGCCAAGGAGGAGAATTTTCCCTATTTTCCACTGCCAGGAAGCACCTTATCAATGCCAGGATATATTAGATTATTCCAAGTCCAACAGCAGTAGTGTTCAGGTAAATATATCTCTCTATCTCTCTAAAATAGAGATATTCAAATATGGAAGCACAGGATGGAAAATACCTCCAACATCAACAAATCTATCCCAGAACCCCAGAGTGGTTTGGGTTGGGAGGGACCTTAATTACCAATTAATTCCACCCCTGCCATGGGCAGGGACACCTCCCACTAGCCCAGGTTGCTCCAACCTGGCCTTGGGCACTTCCAGGGATGGGGCAGCCACAGCTTCTCTGGGAATTCCATCCCAGCTCCTCCCCACCCTCCCAGGCAGGAATTCCTTCCCAATATCAAATTTAAACCTGCTCTGCCCCAGTTTAAAACCACTCCCCCTTGTCCTGTCACTACATGCTGCGAGTTTATAACCCCCTGAATATTCCTGGTCACAGAAAACTCGTGGAATACCATAAAAACATTAAACTTCCAGGGATTTGGCCCTTTAGGAAACAACTGGGAGAGCAGAGGTACAGGCAAGTCACTCCACCACAGCAATGCCTCGTGGCCAAGTCCTTATTTCATGTTCCCAAAACAGAGCCATGATTCTTCTCTCCCCTTTTCTTCTGGAAAAGTTGTTTTTACCCCAACACCCCTGTTTTACAGGGGCCTAAATCCTGGTTTTTTTGTATCCTGAGCACCCCACAGCCATTCAGAGGCAGGAAAAACACCCGAGGAAAGAGCTGAACCCAACCTACTTATTTTTTTGTAGCTGCAGGACGACTTCCTGGCCGTTGGCTTTGATTCCATACTCCACCTTGTCAACATATTTGGTCTGCAAACAGATTGAAGTGTTAAACTGTGCACTGCTACAACTCATTGACCTGCCAGCAGTGCTCTTTTCCTCCTCTTCCCACCAAAAACAAGTGCTCTGGCAGCAGCACAATAAGCAGGAGATCACTTCTGTCTCGTATTTTTTTACTCAGAGGAAGAAATTTAACTTTACAAATTCATTTTTACCATCCTAAGCATGTTTGGGGAAGTGCTGGGGTGGATGCTGAGGTTTAAACATTTTCATAACACCCTCTGGAAGTGCTGAAGGCTTTTAAGTGCTCTTAAGCTTCAAAATAAATTGTCTGGAGGTTATTAAAGATTTGAGTGGTGTCAAAGCCAACATTTTTGCAGAGATTCAGGTCCTAAAACACCCACTGCTGGTCACTGCTGGGGTGGATGCTGAGGTTTAAACACTTCCATAACACCCTCTGGAAGTGCTGAGGACTTTTAAGTGCTCTTAAGCTTCAAAATAAATTGTCTGGAGGTTATTAAAAATCTGAATAGTGTCAAAGGCAACACCTTTGCAGAGATTCAGGTCCTAAAAGACCCACTGCTGGTCACTGCACATGTCCCACCTCACAGCTCCTGGCACCACTTTTCCAGGTTTTCTCTTTCATTTCCTTTTGGAAGATCAACTCTCTGGCTCCAAAGTCCCTTGCCCTTAAAAACCAGGGGTATTGTGACTCCAGGATCCCTTCCCCATCTCCCAGGAACATAAAACATCTCCCTTTTGATACCTGGGTGTTCCTTTTCTGCACCGAGCGCAGCTTCCGTGGATAAACTATTTCATAGCTCTCCACTCCAGGTAACTCCCTGTTGGTGCTCCCTGGGGACAAACAGATGGATATTTAGGAAAACACAGCATTAGCTTCTCAAACACCTCATTTCCTGCCTCTCAAGGCTGATTTTTGGGGCTCTTGCACCCCTCGTGCCTCGTGCTCAGGGGTCCGTCGTGACCCGACACCAGAGGGTTGTTCCCAACCTGGATTTGGGATGAATTTTCCCACCTGGATTTGGGATGAACTGCCCCACCTGGCTGCTTCCAGGTGTCCAAATATTTCCCTGTGGGCTTCTCTGAGCACTTCAAGTCCCAACCTGCCAGACCAGCCTTTTGCCTCTGCACTTTGCAGGTGACAGGGATTAATTTATAAAGCTCTGGGAAAAGGGGGATCTCCAAAACTTTATCACATGATGGGCAAGTCCAGACTGCCTGGAGATCAGCAAATAAACTTAGAACAATGCAGAGGTTTGGAATGAGGCTGGATTTCTGTCTTGGAAAGCTTTGCCCCATAAATAATTGTGACAGAACTTGATAATAGAGACACTTTCACCTCTTTAACTGGAGGGAGGTACAAAGTCGTGACAGCAGAAGGATTAAAAGAGGTTTTTGAACAAAACCAGGTAAAATAATGGGAGATAGCACAAAAGTAGGAAAATTTTGAAGGTGGGAAGGAATCCAGGTAATTCTTTAACTCCCATAACCCTTTCTCCTGGTCTTTAAGGCATGCTGAGTGTCTGCAGTGGTTGTAAGAACTCTGGGAGGAAACACAGAGCTTTGAGGAAAAGGGTTTCTTTTTGTTTTCTGCTCTGAACCCAAATAAATCTCGACCAAAGTTAATTTGGGGCACCACTTGCAGGGCTGGGCAGCACAGAGAATTTAATTCTGGCATCCCAGAAGTTCATGAGAGCAGCTGCTGTCCAGGTTTTTGGGGAAACAGGGTCGGTTGTGTTGGTTTCCAACAAGGCAACAGCAGGTTTTAGACACCCCTGAACTCTTTAATCTCCTACTAAAGGACATTTCAAGTGAATTCCTGAGGGCTCAGAGCACAAGAACTTGTATTTGAATATAAAACCAACCCCAAACAAACCTAACCCCACAAACCCCAAAGGGAGGATTTAATTCCCTGCCCCAGGCCCAGGTTTTCCCAGGAGTGGGGCACCCAGTGCCTGTAATTTGTCTGGAACAACAGAGCCCATCCCCGTGCAAATTGTCCCAGTCAGACAAACAGATTCCATCTTTGCACCTGATCTGTTGGATTAAACCCTTTCCAAAAGTAATTGCAGAATAAACTGGGTTGTGTCTTGATAAAACTGGTGGAGAAGTGACCTTACACGAGCTGAGCTCTTACACAGAGCCCTGGGCACGTGCTCAGAGCAAATACCAAGTGTAACTTTACTCCTGCAATTCCCAGGGATCTTTTGTATTTTATTTTAAGCAGATAATTACATTTATTTTTTTTTAAAAATCATGGTTTTCAGACTTAAGTCTTTCCACAACCATAAAGTAGGATCAGTGATATTTTAAGCCTCTTGCTACAGAATTCTCCAGTTTTATCTCCCTGTTTCACACCCTTTGTCCAACTCCAGCCCAGCCAGTTCAAGTTTAAGTGGGATTTAAATGAAAACTCAGGACTAAACTTATCCCTTTCCTGCAGTCTGCTGCAAACAGCTTTTCGAGGAAAACTGGTTAATTTTGGCCTGGAACAAATGGTTTCTTAGAGGGAGTTTTTTAATCAGTGTATTGTCTTTGTCTGCCCTCAGGCACTGTCTGGAGTCAGGAGGTAAGAAATTCCTTGGGCCTGGTACTGTATAATAATGGAGAAATAATTATATACTTTTCCAAGTGCCTAAACTAAAAATCATTAGTGAGGAATCCACTGGTAATGAAGAAAAAGAAATATAACACCTTAAACACCGTGCACATTTCCAGATATTCTGTGCAAATAATCCAAATTTAGATACCTGCCTGAGTATAAATTACATGGTTAATTATGGATTTAAAACCTGTCCGTGCCTGTGCCTGCCAAGCCTTGGCAAAAAAATCTGTTCCCTGTTGACATGAATTGAAAGGAACAATTGAAAGGAAAAAAAGTGGGGTCTGCTCAGGTGAAGGCACAGGAATAGTCAGAACCTGAAGTGCCACACAATAATAAGGGGGTAAAAGGTTTTAGTTCGGGTCATGTTGTTATTTGGGTTCAAATAGAAATCTTTTAGGGCCAAAATTGGAGATGCAAGTGGATAAATTGTCCTTTTATTTTCAGGGCTCACACAACTAACCAAGTTAGCAAGTGGCTCACAGAACTGACCAGTTCTGGGCTTTTAGGCAATTTCTGGCCAGTTTGCAAACAGGTAAATAAATGTCTAACTAAAGAATTTGACATAATCAATTTGAACAAAAAGAGGAAAACCCCAAACGTCCCCAACTCCAGCCCCGCCGTTTTCCAACGGCTTTGATTCCCGTTCTTCCCTATTATCTCCCTGTTAATCATTAAAAATCCATCCGGAGTTCTGCCCAGAGAAAGGATTAAACCAAAAAACGCTGTACCTTGGTGGAGGAAAAGCAGGAAAAGGGCAGGAAGGAGGAGTATTTCCATGCTCCCAGCTGGGCTGCTCCGGTGGGGTGGCCGTGGCCCGGGAATGTCGAGGTGGCCGTGGCCTGGGAATGTCGTGTTCCCAGGCTGGGCTGAGAATGAGAGGGAGCGACTGCCTGGGCTTTATTCTTGTTCCTACATGAGGAAGTGTTTGCTGAGGGTGTTGCACAACAGCCCAGTCACGGAGGGTTGCGGCGAGTGGAAGTTCCTGCTGGTTGGTTGGTTGGTGGCCCACGGGTCGGGATATGGATCGATGGCTCCCGGTTCAGGTCCCTCAGAGCGTGGTTTCCTCAGAGGAAATCAAATCTATCCACAAATAAATACGGAATTGGAGCAGGCAGTGAATTATGGGCTTGGTGGGGTGGTCCTGATTTGATGTGTTTATAATTGAACTCAAATAAAACCACTGGGTGCCACCGGTGGCTTGAGGAATGGGACAGTTTTGGGGAGGTTTGGGGTGAAAAAGGAACACAGGGCCGGGTTTCAGCTCTTGGTAATTCCCAATTTATTGTATGTGTGACTCATCTCCCCAGTCCAAACACTGAGCAGAGCCTTTGCTGCCCCTTTTATCCCTCTTAGTAATGTTTGCTTGAGGTTCATGTGATAAGGGCTGAATAAAGGAGGCAGAGCAGTGAGAAATCAGGTGAGGGCTGGCAAATAATATTAAAAAAAAAAATCTCTGCTAAGAAAGGAGAACGTTGGCTTAGTCAGCTGTAATAAAGTGGAAATAAAGCTGCTCAAGGCCACAGGTGTCAATATAGAGCTGCTTTATAGAAGCTGAAATTTTTATAGGTTCAAATAAGTGTTACAGAGCACATGGAACTAAAACTGTGCTGTATACAAATTTATATTTATATATATATTCATATATCCAGTATATTATATCTATTCATCTTATGTATTTATATATACATATAAATATTCATATATATTCATATATTCAGTATATTTTATATATATTCATTTATTACGTTCATTTATAAATGTGTAAATATATCCATATAAATCTACAGGAGAACTATATCTACAGGAGAATTTTCCTGCCATAACTAACATAAGTTCACACTCCCAATATAAGTGCTATTAAATAGTTATTTCTCTCTTGGGTATGTGTTGAAAAGCTCTGATTTTTGGGACATTCTTAATTCAGACTTTCCCCTTGGGTTTTGCTGCAGCTCCAGACATTCTGGGGCAGACTGGGAGCTGCAAACAGGTGGGCTCTGAGCTTTTATTAAGGGTAGAATGTGCTAATTAATGACAATTTCTGTTTGGTGCTGATTGCAGGAACCAACTTAGGTGTAGAACTGGCACGGGAAGGGTAAAACTGGATTCTAAATCTGTGTCTGGATATTGTTTAGACATTTACAGTGGGTTTCAAATGGGTGTAAAATGCTGGTGAGCAGAGGCAGGAGAGTCTCTGCAAGTGTCTGAGAGCCCCTGGAGGGGGATTTAGTGGCAGGGAGAGGAAAAGGACACCTGAGAGTGCCCTCAAAGCTCTTCTGTGCTGCAGGAGGGAACCAGGAGCTCAGGGAGCACTGTCACAAC